TAGAAATTGGGGCCCATAATTTTATATCTTACATTAAGGCCGACCAAAAGTATGTTGCAGTTATAGGTACTAAAGCTTGTACTTTTAACATAACATAATACTTAATCTGTGCAGATTTTAATGAAACCATGGTGCTTAAGTCTAGTGATAGATGAGAATATTTAACATATATGCCTATATTAAATAGTGCAATGAATACGTAATTATATAGTTCTGTGCTCACCGAACTCTGATGGGTAATGGTACATGCTGCAGCCTGCAATAAGGCTTACAACAGTATAACGGTTTGACAAAACGGCAATGTTGAGCTCCCTTAACACGGAGTGGGGTTGAATTAAACGAATCTCCTTATAAACAATCCCCGACAAATAACCCTATAACAAGAATTATGTGTCCCTAACACCAATGTTCACGAGATTTCTATGATTTTAAAACAATCAAATGGTCAATTTGTTTTGACAGTAAATTTCTAATATACAATATCCATAATAATATATAAATAAAATAAAATTGTCAAATTGTTAAATCCATTATATGTCAGTAAACACTAGATAGTATTTATTATACATAAATACGTATATAAAATATTTAAGGCTAAAATACAGTTGGCTGTAATGAATCTTGGACGTCCCCCCCCCCGTGCCTTTTCCTCCCGGACGGGACAATTTCCCCCCCGGACAAAAAAAAATAAATATTAAACAACAATAATATACAATGCAAATAAATAAATGTACAAATGATTGAATTAATGTATACATATAATGAATATAATAAAATAATAATATAATAAATATAATTGTATAAATGTATATTTTTATTTTTTTATTCTGGTAAGATAGCTCACAGAAATTAAAAAATGTTAAATATCATCATTTGAAAAACTTTCACATAAATTTTTTAACCTATCATCTTTACCTAAATTATTACGAAAAGCTCCTGCTCTATACGACTATACATAATTTAAAATTTTGATTGATGCACTTGAGTTGCTCATCTGTAGAGCTTCAATAAAAAGCCAAATATTTGGATGATTAATTCGCACTAGTGTTGTAAATTTATTATTCCACCCTTCCGAAATATTGTTTGTTCTATCTATACCAGCTTTAGTCAACTCAAACACGTTCCATATGGAAGGTGGAAATAACGGAGGTGTTCTGGTAAGAATTAAAGAATGTACTTTAATTCTACGTTTTTTTTATTTCTATAACGACCGTTAACATAAGTTGTATCAAAGTACGTAAGAATTCGAATAAAATCCAAAGAACCTAATTTCAAACCTATTATTATGTGTAAAAAAAAGGTATATTAAGTCGGGGGGGGGGACGTCTCAGTCTGGGGGGGAAACGTCCAGTGCCGTTAAGATTCACGGGGGGAAAAGCACGGGGGAAACGTCCAGGTACCGGCTGTAATATATGTCAGCTAAAATACTGTCGATTGTAATATATTTGTCAGCTAAAATACTATCGGTGCAAATATTAAATTTGTCAACTAAAATACTGTCGGCTTATATGGCACACATTATTATTATTTCATATGGCGTTTGAGTAGCACCAATAATTTCCTATTTATACTAGGTAGGTAGTGGTTGTTTATAATAAAAGTATAAAATATATAACATGCATAAAATGTGTCAAGGGTCAACTGCAAAGACAAAAGTTATAATAAATAAATATAAATATGAAACTAATATTGTCATAATGTCATAGTAAAATAGAGCAATAGTTCTGTCATAATTTAATATTTATTTTCGGAAAATCGAATAAAATATGATTTATATTATTATGGTTATAAAAATATGCAAACAAAATTGTTTTCATCCTTTTGCACAAAGACTGACTAAGTTTACCTACTTTATACTTATGCTTTTTTTTTTTTGGATAAAGCACTTGAACAATCTTAGCAATTTTAATATTTTATAGCATTAACGGTTTTAATAATATTGTCATATATTATTTTTATTTATACTTACAATTTACATCGATTTTGTTTGTATGAAGACAAAAATTTGGAATCTTACTTGGGAAGAGTGGATTAGGTATGTCTACAAATCAGAAATTAGACGCGACTTGTGTGGTTTTCAGAATGATTGAAATAGGCATGTTTAGGTTATTGAGTAACAATTAATAGGTAGGTAATAATTATGAAGAATAAATATATTATATTATTTTATATCTTTTTTTCTTCGTAGTAATAATATATCTACTTACTAATTAATTAGCTATATCCGGTTTGGTAAAATTCTCCACTTGTATCGTCTTTTACAAATATTTAGCTATGGAATAGGTTATAGGTGGGTTGTAACTCGTAGATCCTAACTACTTACGTACAAACAATAATCCCGCGATTAATTTGTGAAATTGCTTAACACATTCCGGGAAATAATGAAAAATGACTGCTTATGGGTTTAGGAAAATAATTTGTTAAATCACCGGACCGAATTCGAAGCCCAGAGATTTGACAAATTATTACTTAGAAAGTTAGACGAATTTATTGTTCGAACGTTCCATTTTAATAACCATTAATAACGAACGGAAACGATGAATCATTGCTTACGGGCAATTGCAATGAAACTTTGACGACATTGACCGATAAGAATAATATAACTGTTTGTTAGAAAGTGTACATAATAGACATATATAAGTTATTTAATGGCCACGTTTAGTCCGTAATCCGTATAAGTAACCTATACAGCAATTATTTAAATGAACAGTTAATGTTAAGAGTTGCTGAATGCTGAACATAACATTTTATCATCCATTTCAAGTATTGCCTACAGCCTACCCATATCACTACTTTGTTTAATTGCGGCCAATCATTATCGACCAATGTTATTGAAATTCAACACTATATCACAAATATTTATCAACCAGAATTTCAATTTCTGGTGCTGGTGCATGCAGCTTAGTGCGCATAGTACTTCCTACATAGAGTAGGTATAGACTTTACCGAATATCGGCTATAGTGGTCACTGGTCAGGTGTCAAAGAAAACGGTGAGCCAACGTCTACCCACTATTTGAATACGGACAAATTATTAGTACATATTATTATGATGTTAATTTAAAACAATTTTTTATTTATGTATACATTTTAATAGGCATGATAAACACTAGAATTTATTTAACTGTCAAAATCTATCGTATTTTTAGAATAGGCTAGTTTCGGGCAGTTTTGCGTGAGTTGACGGTGATCGGAGCGATGTGGAGAATCTATCCAGTAAACATCCAAATACTGCAGTAAACAAATAAATAATAATATGATGCCGAATGATTACCACCAGCGGTAGCCGGTAGGAATACGAGAGACGAGTGTCCACGTACCCACATAAAACGCAGATCCACCTGGCCACCTACCAGCATGTTATTGTATATTTCAATCTGAGCTATACAGTAATAACACTGATTATATAAAAATGTATATCATTTGTGGTGATAACTAACAGTCTGTCTGACCGCCGCCGTCTAGTGGATTTTCCACTTTACCATCCGTAGTGAGGAAAAAACAGAAGAAAACGGTCATTTTCTAACGCTTCAGCTGTTATTGAAACTAAAAATTCGACACAGATCTGACAAAAAATGTATTTACTTAATTTGCACTTGTATATTCCATTCTGATAGTGAATATTATAAATTAATATCAAATCATAATCTTGTCGAATAACAATTTGAAACACAATTATTGACATTATTACTAATGTGGGTGCTTATTTTAAATCTAGAAGTGTCTTATGTGTACATAGTTGCCACTAAATACTTTTTTTTTAATTACATTGTAATCCACAAAGAAATACAAACCGTATTTTATTTAAAATAAACAAATATAGATAATGTATACATATGTCAAGCTACAGTAGTTTATATTTTTATAACTTGCGTTAGTATAAATACATAAATTCATCTTATTTGTCTATAGTAGTCTTCAATATTATCACATCAAATCAGCAGTATTTAAATACTTTTAGGTGTAACTTAGTTAATACCAAAGTCCTATGCATTAAAAAAAAATTGTACAGTGTCAGTAAGACTAATCAACCAATGTAATAGCATAAATGTATAATATAAAATATAGTCCTATTTTTATTGTAGAACGCACAAATATATTGCATTTGAAAAAGAAGAATAATAAAAATTGAGTTTTAATTATTCTTTATCATGTTTGAATAGCGTTGACTAACAAGTAAAAACTAATAACCAAAATATAACTTCATTTTTCAACTAGATTATTGGTGCCCAAACCAATTCTCAATAAATGTAAAATTTAAAATATTGTACTATAAATTATACCAAGGACAATTTTAAAGTGTGCTGATAATTAAATATTATTATTATGCACATCAAATCTAAAATTAAAACGAGTATGAAAGATTACAATGTTATGGTGGGTGTGTTATTTAATTGGTAAATATGACTTTATAGTTTATACATTAAAAACTTGAATGATAAGTACTTCATAAACGTTTTATTGTTTTCTTACGATTTAAGAAAGTAGGTAAAACGTTCTATTACATTATAAGTTTTTTTTAAGCAACATTTTAATGTTATAAGTAATATGCTTATATAACTAGACTTAAAGAAACAACTAATTTCATCTGAAATAAAATTGTAATTATTTATTCACAGCATAATATTTGAAATTAAAATAATTACTAAAACGTTAATTAATATATTTATATATTGGACATAACTATATAGTTTAAAATAACAAAACATGTTAGAATTTTTAGATATTATAAATCGTTGAAAATGTTAAATAAATATTAAAATTGAAATTATTACTTTAAGATAAAAAAATGAGTTTACAATTTAACGTTCTAATAAAAATCTGTATACAACTAACTTACTTTAAATGTAGCAGGTTAACATTTTAGTTGAAAAATTGAAAAAAAAAGTTTTATCATTGTTAATAGGTAAATATATTTTTTTTTTGTATTAACAATTTTTTTTAATGTAAAAAAGTATAAATAAAATGTAAAAAAGAAAGAAATACAACTAAAAGTACAAAATTAATGATGGAAGGTCTTCTATATAATGAAAGTAGTTCACTAATAATTTAAAGTATTTACAAATATTGTTGACAATGTTAATTAAATTAAGCTCATAAAAAACAATTTTATAATAATGATTATCATGATGAAATGACTGATTGACTATACAAAATGTATGGTGTAAGAAAATAGAAACAGTTATTAAAATGGTTTGGATAAAAACCGTGGTTGAGATACACATTCTGCACTCACATTTTTCTTGTTTACCACCATAGTTAAAGGAAGATTTACTCTTATGCTAGGGTACTGGAATGTCTGGAAATAATAAAAGTAATATAAAAATATGTTTTAATTTAAATTTAATTTATTAAATTAGAGAAGAAACAAACCTGATTTATATATTTTGCATCAATATGAGTCAAATAAGGTTCGGGAATAGCCACAGAGTCTCCTATGATCGGTCCTCTACCCTGAGCTAGATTGTATACCGATACCACAACACACGATAATTCTTTATCAACCAGGCAGAATGTACTAAACAAATTATTTTGAACATGTCTTAATACAAAATTATACAAATCGCAATATTATTAATTGCACTTACTAAGGGACAGGTTCCTGATTGTATACAACACATACTACTCGGCCACATACTACATTGTTAGCATTAAAACCGGCTTGAAGTTTTGATAGTGGAACATGTTCCAACTTTACATGACCTTTCATTGTTTTTATTTTATTGTTGTACAATCCCAAGCAACTTGGGTTTAAAGACTAATTATGAGAATAACAAAAAAACATACTATTATTATACTTAGTTTAGTTTTAATATTCATTTATAAGAAATTGTGCGAATAAATAAAACAATATAATATATAATAATGAATGTTAAGTATGTTGTATAATAGTACCTCTGTCATTTGTTGCAGTCTCTTACTCTTTACCTGACCCTTACGCTGATATAATGTTTGTGTTGAGGTCAAATATTTAATAAGATCTTCCAAAGTTTCTTTAGCTGTAGTCCACATTGGATCCAATATTGAGGCTTGTTCAAAGCTCAATAAAGCATCAGTATAAATTTCCCCATACTTTAAAGCCTAATGACACAAAATGTAATCTAACGATAAATTATTCACATTTTAACAGTAAGTTTCACTTACGACGCCTCGATTAAAATGAAGATCAGCATTTTTGGCAGCTACAGGATCTTTGACCTAAATATAATTTTAATAATGTAAAATTAACAATAATTTAAGTATACTAAATGTATTGACTTACAGCTTTCTCAAAAGAGTTGATGGATTGTCTAAGGAGCTTATCTTCTTGTCTTCTAAAAAATAAGGATAGATAAGCATTTCCAAGTATTGCCCATGATTCACCATCATTAGTGTCCAATTCAACAGCTTCTTTTGCATACTCAATACCTGCATTCAGGTTTTCCTTAATATTTTCATTAGTCAATAACTGAGCCTCTCGCATTATAATAGATAGATTCCTCAAAATGACTTTACATTTACCCTGGAACAGAAAGATAAACATATAAATATATTTAAAAAGTGTGATACCAAAATACTATTATGGTGTGAATTTAAAAGCCCTCTAACGTGGCTTTTCAGCCACAACATTTGTTTCATACATAAAAGAACTTAAAAACTTTTATTTTGTATTTTTTTTAAAAATATTTTTATGATTAGAGCATTTACTGAAATTATTAGGGCATTTTTTTTTATAGTTATTATATGAATTGTTTTATATTTTATACAAATGGATAAAATTTGTTACAAATATACCGTTAAGTCCATACTAACAATAAAAAAATTAAATAAGTATTATTTTTATAAGGTATTACATATTATTTTTTAACCTATGTATCAGACAAAAGTGGTGGCAACCGTAAATGGTCTGATAAACAACATTGTTGTCATATGCAAGCAGATAGATATAGAATATAGTTTGTGATATTTAAAGCTTACATAAAATGCAATAGCGCCACTTAATACAATTTTTTGTTGTTGTTTAGGACATTTAAACCCTCACTCTACCATAACATACTAATTACGTGTTTCAATGAGGCAAGGAAACAATATTTGGCTTCGGAAAACCTTTTTAAATGTACTAAACATTCCCCAAGCGAATTCCAGGCATCTAAGTGTGTTGGATTCAGTTTAACAGCTTTGGACAATACATTAATACATTCTTCAGTCACTGGTTGAGTAACACTCCAAGTTTTGCCCAGTAAAAAAAAATACTGTGCTTTGTTTTCAGCAACTGCAGCTTCTAAAAGTTTAAGAGATGCCTTATTTATAATCATGATCAAGGAAAGTGCCTATGTTATTACCTTCATTTGTTTTCATCAATGTTAATACTCCTTTAATATTTTCATTGAGTACTTCTTTATTGTAAGATACCTTTTCGGTATTATTTTCTGATGAATTTTTATGAAACGTATACAGCTCCTCAACAATGGACTAAAAGACAATGAAATATAATGGAAAAAAATAAAATCATGGTATCAAGCCAAAGGATATCTCCATTTATGGTAGGTACCTGAAGATAATCAAGTGTGGGCGTACATTTGTCCTGTTCAGAAACCTCATTTTCTTCTCTCAAATTCAAATCATTCAGTTTTTCTAAATTCTGATCATGGTTTTTCTCAGACTTGTCGTCATCTGTTTGTCGAGTATCGCTCATTTTAAGCGAAATCTATACAATTTGAATACGTATGAAAAAAATCATAAAAAAACAAGTTGCATGACCTACCAAAATATATCCGGTTTTTTTTCTAAAAGTTTATTGTACCCTTGTATAAGAGTAGTCCATGATAGCATAAATTATTTCCCCGAATCTTGAGCTTATCTACTGGCTTTGGCTAATTATAAAATCGTCATTCATGATACACTTCTGAAATAGTTGTGAACAGCGTAACTGTAAAGTACTAAAGCATAAACTGACAATTAAAAATATTAAATACTAAAGATAATGAGATATCTTCCGACTCCCACTCCCGACGCTGCATAAACTTGGTTCTTATCACTTTCTGATAAGGTGATAACAGAGATACTAATTCAGTTGCCTATGTATCACTTATAAAAGAAACTATTTCTGTTTTTTCACTGATATTATGTATTGTGGTTTAAGAAGGATAACAAATAATAACAATAATAATTATATTTTAATATTGTGCATTGTGCTTGTATAATTATTTATTATTTATCATCATTATTATCATTGGAAGTTATAGCACTTATAGCAAGTATTACTTTTTAATTCGTTTAATTGTTCGAACTGTTGAATTGAAAATAAATTATCTGTTTTTTGATAAACAGTTTAATTTATGAAAATAATTTTGTAAATTGTGAAAATTATTTTAACTATAATGATTATAGAACGACAAGTTATTGAAAAAACAATCATGAAGGAAATATTATATTTTCTATGAGTATCAAAAACACAAAATATCTTTATCGTTTTCATATCTTCCGAACTATGTCCTATACATTCAAATGGTAAATATTTCAAAAAATTGATATTAATTGATTATTGGCACATTTTGTGTTAAGGATATTTGAAAATGTAATTATTTCTTTAAGATTAATATTAATAAAAAAATATTTTGTCTAAGAATGGTTATTAGTTTTTTGAATAGCAACCTAAGAAAATTGTTGTATATGAATCTGTTAATTTATGGGTGAATAATGAATATCCAATGTATCCAACGTTCGTAAAAAATTAATTTGACTTTCCTGTAACCTTTTTTTTTTTTAAATGTAGGAAAACTTAAGGGGAATCATCTATTAAATTTTCCAAGCATAAATAGAAATAGAATTTCTAAATCGAAAGAATTTATAAATTTTCGTGATTTTGATAAATGTTGTCAATATTTTAACTTCAAATGGTCGTAAAAAATTATTGTAGATTTACGCTCAACAACAACTTATGAGGAACGTTGTATTTCAGTTAACAGATTTTGAATTTTATGAAAACATATTGTATCAACAATAATTAAAAAAAACTACTAAAATTCTAATTTTGCTTATGCTCATAAATAGTTTAAAAAGAGTCTCTTTCCTACGCACTGTCCTGCTATAGTACAAGACCTTATAGCATTCCAAAACTCAAACGCTATTTGCACCTGATAAGTAACATTTGAAAAACTGCGCTAACTTATTACTATTAATACAACCGTTTCATGATGGAATAAAATGTTACTAACTTCCTACTGTGCGTCAAATGAAATGGCTGACTGATTTTAATTTTATCCTATAATGCTTGTTAGTTATTTGCTATCAGTGTCCATTCCGTTTCATCACAGAATATTCTGTGGTTTCATAGTTTCATTCTGACTTCTGAGCATGATTTAAGATAGTCTATCTTAAATCATGCTTCTGAGGTCTACTATCGTGTCTGACTTACCAGCATAGAGTAATGCTTACCAGCACGGCTATAGATATTATCTTATCTAATTTATTTAGTCTGATGAGTGATAAATGATAATTATTATTTGAAATATTAAATTTTTTTTTTTAATACATATATTTTATATTTTTGAACATTCTAATATACAATTTATAACTGACATATATAGACATTTTAGTCTTCATGCAGATTACTGAGTCTATATAACAGTATTAACTATAATAACTAAATAAGAACTGTCTAAATAACTGACGATTATTGAAATATATGATATCTTAGAAATATTAGTGATTCTATTGATTTTTAAACAATGTGTACTGTTTTGATTTTTTAAACTATTTTATCATACAGAGGGAAATGAGAAAATAATAATTCAACACTAGTATTATTTTATAGGAAGAATAAAAAACAAAAAAATGTTGAAGTTATTAAAATTGCAACCAAGGTCTATTGTTCGAACAATTACAACCTTCCAAAATAAATTACCAGTTCAACAAAACTTGACAAAATATTTTCAAGATAAAATACGTATAAATGGCCCAATTACATTAGCTGAATATATGCGAGAATCATTAAAAACATACTATAATAGTGGAAATGTCTTTGGGTCGGATGGAGATTTTATAACATCTCCTGAAATTAGTCAACTTTACGGTGAAGTAAGCAAACAATATTATTCTTAACTAAAATTACTTTTAGCTTTTGCCTTAAAAGATTTATTTTATTAATATTTTAGTTTAACTCTTTAAATGCATATAATATTTGGTGTCAACACTATTTTTAGATGGTTATGCTATGGTTGTTAAGCTTGTGGGAAAAAGCAGGGTGTCCATCTCCTGTGAACTTAATAGAACTGGGACCAGGAACAGGAGTAATGATGACAGACATGCTAAGAGTAAGGTTACATTACAGCTTAATTCATTACTTATTAACCATAAACAAATTATACTCAACAATGTCTAAAGGTGGATTCACACCTCGTTGTGTCATGTAGCGTTCTGTATAATTACTACATAGGTAACAAAATGTTGGTCACACGTTACCTTGAATATATTTAACTCTTCACAGCAATACAAAGTGTGAATCCTTGTTTTTATAAACATAAAAAAATATTATATACAATTTTTTGATACAAAAATTATGGCTGCTTAAATCAAGACCTTAATGTTCCTGTTATTGAGCAAAATATTGATTCTTAAAATTGTTTTTTTGTGGTAAATTTCTTCTAATAAAAATTTTTCCCCAAGACCCAATTTGCTTTTATAATGTGGTCATCTGTCCTAAATCCTTATCTATTGTATTTTCCACACTACTTTGTACTCAAATGTATTTGAAACAAAATAAATAACTAATTAGCCGTAGAATTAAAAATGAAAAAAAAACAATAATAAATATTTTAAAAGAACTGTAGGTAACTACTAAATATATGGAGACTTGTACTAGTACAGAACTAGCAAGTACCCACAACTTTGTTTTTGTAAAAACATTTAGCAAGAGATAAACTACAATTTACTATTGTAACTAGCCTAAAATGTTTTGCTTTGAATTTTATTTTTTTACAAACATTTACTATGCTCTTATTTGGAAAAGTATCAATATTTTTTATGAACATTGACTGATTTCATAATATCATAGTTTTGCTTAAGCTTTTCATATCTGACCAGAGCCTATTACCATAAGTTTACATTTTCTAATTAAAAAAGTAGCACTGATTATAAATCAATGCTATTAGTCATTTTTTCCATCTTTTTTTTACAGTTATTAAACCAAACTCAATACAGCTCACTTGACCTTACCATACATATGGTAGAAACAAGTAAAAAATGTAGTTTAGAACAAGCTAATAACCTAAACTGTTCAGATGTACGGACAAATTCCGACAAATGTTATTATCAACACGGTATAACTTGTGAAAAATATGGAATGAAAGAAATATTCTGGTATGAATCAATAGATGATATCCCTAAAAATACATTTAGTTTAATAGTTGCCCAAGAATTTTTTGATGCTTTACCTGTACATAAATTCAGGGCAAGTATATATTATTAAATATTTAAGTTTATAGTTGTGATTGTTTACTTACTTTCTTATTTAGAAAATTAATGAAAAATGGTGTGAAATAGTCATAGATATTGAAAATGATGTAAGTGGAACATTTCGTTATGTCTTGAGTAAAACATCTACAACTACATCCAATTTAATATCTTCAGTATGTTATTGAACTATGCATGAATAAATTATTTAAATTTGTTTAATAACTAGATATCTCTATTAGATAGAATATTATAAATGTTCTAATTTTAAAAATGATACTGAAATTGAAGTCGGACTGGACGCAGCTATTGTGATGCAGAAGCTAAGCGAGAGAATAGTACTAGATGGTGGAATATTTCTATGCATTGACTATGGACAAGATAAGCCAATAATTGATACCTTTAGGGTAAGATTTTAAATATTGATTTTCAAAGGCTATTAACATATAAATAATAAATGTTCATGTATAGGCTTTTAGTGGACACCAACAAGTTAATCCATTGCATAATCCTGGAACAGTAGACTTGACAGCAGATGTTGATTTTAGTAGATTAAAAAATGTGGCTGGAACTGATGTCTTGGCTTTCGGACCAATTGGCCAAAATTTATTTTTAGAGAATATGATGATTAATTTGAGATACCAAGTAATTTAAGAAAATAATACTTATTGTAAAAAATTAACTTATTGTATGTTTACAGAATTTGTTGACTTTAACAAAAAGTGAAAAAGAAGCAACATCACTTACATTTGGCTATAATAAATTAATGGAAATGGGTAAAAAATTTAAAATAATGGGAATGGTACCAGCAACAATGACACCATTATTAAATGATTCTCCAGTTAGTGGATTTGGATTATATAATTCAACAAAAAAGTGAGAATACTATTGAATTTCAATATATTGAACTATAAACACTAACACTTGTATTCTTATTAATAAATAATTTATTAGCTCTTGAACTATGACCAAATCTATCAATTTTTGTTATCTTATTAAGTAACAAAAAATTAATAACAACCTGAGTTCAAAACGTCAAATACATACTATGTTAGTGGCTAGTGCATACCTAAGCGTTTGTGGAACTTTGGCAGGTCACTTCAAAAATATTACACATAAACAATAGTCAAAAATGTCAACCTTCATGAGTACACTGATAAACTGCAATAATATTATACTGCATTTAATATAAAAAATAAGTTTTTTGAAATTTTATATTTTAGCTATGAATAATTAATGAATAGTTAAATGATTGACAATTATTAACGGCAAAAAGCAAAGTTAAATACTAAAAATGAATCAAATTTTTCATAGGCTATTAAAAGGATGTCTTATCCTACCTGCATAGTTTGTCTTAACTTTGAATGTGTAACATAGACAATTTAAATTTAAATTATTATTAAGCATTGTTAGTTTTAATATTGGAGAAAATCTACCTATTGTTAAACTTAAAGGAAACAACACTTTCTGTAGTTTGTTAGAAATTGTGTTCAATATTTTCATTTTGAAGGAAATAATAAGAATTTTTCTACAGTAATATTTTACAAACTTATAACTCACTTCAAAATTAAAGTATTGAAAAAACACTTCTAACAAACCATGCATGCAGTCAGACATCCTCCTAAGAAGTCACTCTAACAATGATATACTAGAATAAATATACAATATATGATATAAAGTGGATATTAATATATAGCCAGTACATAGCAATAAGTATCTAGTAAAAAACATATTAAATAATCAAATTGTATATATTTGTTTTTGAAAAATAACATCATTATATTAAACATTTGTTTTAGAATAGAGATTACCAATTTTTTTTATGTTCATCCATTGAGACTCCGCCAGGTCCTCTGAGTACAATCATTAACAAGCCTCCAATTACCGAAAGTGTCTAAATATAAATATAAATTAGTGAAACACAAAAAATAATATTAAATGTTTAATTAATATAAATATTAATATAATTACTTGGAAGAAGTCGTATTTTAGAAAATCACGGAGAGGTTTTGTTTCAGGTATTGTCCACCAAGCATTATAATAGAAATTTAAACTTGTTAAAAATAAAACAAGCACTAAAGCACTAAGTTTAGTTTTGTAACCAATGAAAACTAATACCATCATAATAGTTCCTAAAATGTCTTGAACCAGCTACACAAAAAGTTTAGATGTCAACTAAAGGTATAATACACAAATAATATTATGGTATTTTAAATTACAAACTTGGAAAAATGATAATTCATATTTTAATAGTGTAATGAACATAAACGCAATCAAGCATCTTCCTGTCAATTGCATGTAATTTTTTTGTTTGTTTTCTCCTTCAAAACAATAAAAAATTAGTTTTTACTTCTGTATATTAATAAAATTAGCAAGTTACCCAATGATGGAATACCAGCAAGCAGAGATTTTGCCTCGACTTCACTATCAGCAAGAACTAATAATAATGCTCCAATTAATGCAAAATTTCTCAACAAAAAATGGAAATCCCATAAGATGCTGTATGCTACTGTCTAGATATAAAATTCAAATACATTTTTTAATGCATTTGATTCATACAAAAAGTTTAAGAATTATTTGTTAAGGATAAAATAGTATGATAATCAAAGTTTATATTAAAGTAGTATCAACGAGTATGTTAAGTCTAAACAAAATTAATATAAATATATATGTTAAGGGATGCTGGCTTACTTGCAATACAACTATAAAAAATAATATTCCACAAGCTATTCGAACATGTTTTTGAAGTAATATAAGTATGCATCCACCCAACTGTCCAACCAAATTAATAAGAACAAAAACGGTAGCTAAAAACATTCCACAATTCCAAGACATATCCATGTATCTGCTCTGTTCTGACCACTGAAAATACATTCGTAGGCCATCTTCTATAAATGTTGATATCAAACATAGTCGAGAAGCTGTAGGCAAGTATGCGTTACAATTTTTAACAACCTATAAAAATGATGTTTTAATAATAAGTAGTTTTTCATTTTGATATTTAATCACACAGTGTAATATTATAATGTATTTATTATTAGTAATTACCAGTTCTGAAATATCTTCTGCTTTGTCAATATAATTTTTAGGTATGAATGCCATAGTAGTACACAAAAGTAGAAAACAAATAAACCCCAATAAATTATCTAATATTAAAATATTATACTAACATACACATAATTTATTACTACACATAACGTGAAAGTAGGTCTACACTCTAATGAAAAATGTAAAATTGTTTTTAATATTTGTTTTTGAAAAATGTTCATGTTGATGATGTGATCGATCGGATGATAGTAACGTTTTAGTTATCGACGTCATTAATTTTTGTATATTTGTCATTATGTCATCTTAAATTGTATATATTCTATTGAAGCATAAATGTAATAATGGCACAACTCCAATTAGAATTTATTCCGTTCTGCCTATTTATAATAAATGCAAATCCACTTCAATTTTGTAGTTTATTTTTTCAAAAAGTTTAATTATTTATAACGATCAAATATTTTGATTTTGAATATAACTTCTTATTTATCAACTTTGTTATCAGTTATAAAATAATTATCAGGGTACATATATCTTGCTTCTTGGTAATTGCTTTGGTAATTGACATTCCTGTCATTCAAAAGAACTAAGAAGTTTTTAATATTTATGTGTGTTGTATAACTATTGTTTTTACTTAATAGTATTTACAATTGTGATTGTTACATTTTTGGGATAAATTAATTTACATCCGTGTTTCAAAGGTAAAGGTTCAATAAAAAATATTATGTTTATTATATAGTTCTCAATCAAATTGCCCCTATTTGATTCAAAACAGTTTCATCAACAATATTATTCACGTATTCACGTTTCAAATTCAACATGGTGTTTCTTAACATATTATTTTAATAAATATTATAATGATGTGATTCACATTTCTTTCCTATGGCAATTCTAAAATACCCATGTATTTTGAATTTTGAATTTTAACTCAGCACATCAAATATACTATCATTTTTATTTATATAAGTGGTGGATGGTCAAAAATTGCTATTATATTATTAGTTGCTATACAGGCACCATTTGTTTTAATGTGTTAATATTTGTATCACCAGAATTCTGTCCACCACTGTATATATACTATTATTGTATCTTGGTCTATTAATTTTTTTTTTGTTTTCATCTACTTTGAGATTGGTACATTATTGTTTGCTTGTTTTTTATCTTGACTGTTAAGAACTAAACTTATTTACCTATATTTCGACCTTATTTTTTCCAAGCCTGGGCAAGTCAGTGTTAATTTTTAACTTAGTTAAGTTAAGTTGATAGAAAATATTTTAAAAAGTTAAAGGTTAATAGTTATCCTATTTTTTTTTTAACTCAGTAAAGTTAAAAGTTATTTGAAAACTTATATTTAACTTACTAACTTAATTTAAGTTATTTATTTATTTTTTTTAATATATAAGCAGCTAGTTATATGGTTTAAAATAATAAAAAGTAAATTTTTATGCAATATATATCATTTAATTATTTATAAAAGAACAAAATTGGATTTGATTAGAAGTAACTCGTTATTTATTAAGTATATATCAATAAAAATCAGTTAAGTTCAAAATTAAGTTAATGAAAACTAAATTTTAAAAAGTTAAAATTAACTAAACTTAAACTTTTCAACTCATTTATGCCTAGGCTTTATTTTTTCTCATACATTACAGTATTAAAAACATTGATTACTTTTGTTTTAAGATTTTATTTCAATTATATTTTTGTTCAAAACTTCATTGTTCTATAATCTAAAATCTTTATATTAATCTACATTTATTATTTATTGACTTAAGTGTTTTTATATCTTAATATTTTTCAGGTAAAGGATCTTTCAATATAACTCAAAATGATTGAAATCACTTGTAATGATAGATTAGGAAAAAAAGTCAGAGTAAAATGTAATCCTGAAGATACAATTGGTGATTTAAAAAAATTAATCGCGGCTCAAACAGGAACTAAATGGGAAAAGATAATTTTGAAGAAATGGTACACAATTTTCAAAGACCATATTAGACTCGGAGATTGTATCCTTTTCATATTGCCATTAATGTGACAATGTATATAATCTTTACTTTTAGCATTTTATTAAACAAATGCACATTTTTTATACCCCATGCAACTTTTTCGATTTTTTTATTGGAACTTACTTAAATTAACTTTTTAATTGCCATGGAATTGTGCAATCAGAATTTATCGGTCGGACTTAATTTCAAAGTTATGGCCTTTGAAAGTTAGCAATTTTGCGTTTCTTACACATTCACGCATCAGTTAACTTAAGTTTACTGAGTATTACAAATATTGATGTTTTTTTTTTGAATACTTATGTACTTCAAAGAGTTAGTTATGAATGTGGTTGCAATCAGAATTTGTTCGCTGGTCAATGGACAGTCTAGTGATTTGCAAATTCCTGGGAATGTAGTTATGGGAATTTACTTATTTTTTAAATATCGATTGTTTCAGTGTAAAATTAAACTTATAGTTGTAAATGATCCAAATGAAAAATATTTCTTATCCAAAAATATTTTCTCTACAGGAGAATAAACATAACTAAGTTATACACTTAAATTTCACTTTAAAATATGTGTAATTATATGCAAAAAAATTGTTCACCCTTCAAAAACGCTAGAATTGCTAACTTCCAAAGGCCATAACTTTGAAAACAATTCTGATTGCACCATTGTTCTTAAATAGTTAATATAAATAAGTGCCAAAAAAACAAATCCATCTAAATTTGTATGCGGTGATAAAATGCATTTTAGCCGCATTTCATTATCAGATTCTGAGTAAAGTAAAGAATTGTTTTAAAATGGTTTAAAAAAAGATGTGCAATCTTAATAATTATTTTATTTTTCTGTGAACACTAAAATTAAAAAAAAAAATAGCTCTGATATCATACATTATCAACATTAAATGTGGTATTTGTCGGTTTTTGTGATGTTATGTATGTAGGACGTAGGTATGCGCCTATGTGTGTTGCAGATAATTCAATTATTGCATATACTTTGAGCTTTAAGTTTTATGGGGCAGACATATGTGTTGTGGATCACAAATATGTCTTACAATAATATAATCCAATGTTCACCTATGGTAGTCCATAGTCGCAATATCTGATAAGACCCGTTGATATTAATTTGTTGTAAGATCATTTTTAGGTCTGAATTCAAATGGTTTAAGAAACCACTGTACTTGATAAACACATGAGCAACTTTTTGCACTGAACAAACTGTTATGATCCAAGTTAAATTTTATAGCTATGTCATTTGATTTCCAATTAAATTGTTTTTACATTTTAGAATAGCAAAAATTGTGCTTTATTATCTGTCAGAATATTCATGTATAAATTATTATTATGATCTTGTATTGAATAAACTTTATTCTCTCTCAAAATTATGACAAGAAATGGTTTGCTAAAATCATTATAAATTTGTTTTAATTTGTAAAACAGTTTATACTTGGCATTGTAGTTTTTATAACAAATACATATGAGAATAGTTGTAAGTGCTGATAATAATATGTATTATGTAGTGTTAAGTTGTCACTAAAAACTTCTTCAAATATTATTATATAATAGTATTATAGTGTCACATAATTGTCCTTAATATTTATTCTTCAGATGAAATTCATGATGGCATGAACATAGAACTCTACTATCAATGAATTTATGTAGCAGAAACAGACTGTACATTTTTTTTTTTACTTAATACATAATATAATTTAACTAATAAAGATAACTTTTTAAAATAATGTTAATAATTTTATTCACTCATAATTAAATACATATTGTTTTGTTTTTTTAATGAAAAAAATGTAGGTCAATATTGTTATAAATAATTTTACATTAAGTTAGATTAATGTAGCCTAGATGCATTAACATTATTTGTATGTACTGCTACTAATCCTTCTGAAAGTTCATATTGAGTACAATGTTCACTATTTAATAAATCTCGTATATGTTGCACAATCAAATCAATAGCCACTGGAAAAAAACAAAAATTATTTGAGATCAATAATAACTTTTTATTGCTTAAATTATATTAATTTATTAATTTGTACAAGTTTTAAAATATTGTACGTTGCATTCAATTTAATATTTTTAGTTGTATTGTAAATTTAAAAAAAAAACGGATTTGGTAACTGAAAATTATGGATTCTTACTTAATTTATTGTTGAGGTAAGTTAATTAAAAAGTTACGTCAAATATATTTTTTAATTTAACTCATCTAAAACAAATATTATTTCTCTACAAAGCTGGTGAGCAGAAATAATAAATGAAAATGTTGCTTCTAATTTTCTAAACTACATAAAAATCAAAATTTTAGATTTAACTCAATTGACAACCAATTTTAAAAACAGAAAACTCATACTACTTGATTGTATAAAATGTCAATAAATACAGTTTTATGTAACAACATAAAAGTGTGTAGAATAATATACATACCAAAATTTTCTGCTCCTCTCGGTATGATAATATCAGCAAATTTTTTAGTCTGCAAAATGTTGAATATTATAAATAAAACAAAAATTATTTGTAGTTGTAATTCATGAAAATTTAATTTATAGTTACTGGTAGACAAAATTCTTCAAAAGCCGGTTTTACAAAATTCATATATTGATTTAATACTTGTTCTAAATCTCTGCCTCTTTCATTGATATCTCTAGGAACTAAAAAAAAATATTGATACATGTACACATAAACTAATTAGACTAGACAAACTAATTAATTACCTCTTCTGGCTAATCTAGTATCTGAATCTGTATCAACAAACAATTTCATATGAAATAGATCTCGTATGGCGGGAAAATAAAACGCTAATATGCCTTCAACAATTACTACATCTGCAGGATAGATGACTATGTTCTCATTCTTACTTCTGAAATTAAAAAAAAAAATCATAAACATTTGTGAACCATGAATGATAATAATAATACATAATTTATATTGTCTTGTGCAAAAAGAAATAAACAATATTTAATTTTTATCACACATACCAACAAGACGAACAAATATGTGTTTAATAATTGGAATTCTACTGTATTCAAATTAAGAAGGATACTTGGTGACAACCAGTTACTTTCAGGTATCCGTCAAGCCATACCTGTCGGTGATCTCCACAGAGTCACACCACCTGATTATCTGTGTAGTAAAGAAACTAAGTAACTAACTAAGTAGCTGAGGAACCTTAAAAATGGGAATGGAGTGGGTATACAACTACTATTTATTTAAAAAAAAAATCATAATATTAACAAACACTTTTTATGTGTTTACTTTATAAATCTTGATTGATAGTAAATTAAATTAATAAGTAATATAATGAAGGAATTCTTTTTTTCTTATACATAGGTAGTAAATATCAAAATATTTACATATAATGTCTTAAAATTATTTGTTTATCTAATGTTTACCTGGAATTTGTTTTATAGTTGTAAACTGGAATAGTGCAGGTCTTTCCTGCTTGAATATCGGTCAAAGTTTGAAACATGAAGACTTCGTCAAATGCATCTAAAAAAACATTTAAAAAAAAATCCTATAAAAATCCTAAAAGCCTAAATATAATAACATTTATAACAATTGTAATTGACATTTTACAGTGCTTTATGTTCATAAATAAATGAATAAAAATAATATTTAATAATTAATCTCAGCAATACCAGGGTGATCAAAATTGAATTGTCCTTTAGAAGCTTTAATTTTTTCTGCAGCATTTAATTCTCTATAAAAGCTGTCTTGACTGATTGACACTACTTGTCTTCTTGTTTCATCTAAATTGGTTTGCCCCAATTTTTCTATAATATTCTTGCAAACGGTAGACTGTAAGATAAAATTATACAAGGATAATTCATTTATAAGACCATGAAATACAAAATTTGTAGATGAACAAAAGAGAGACATTGCATAGTAGGTACTTACTTTTCCACACGCTGTTCCACCAGCCACTCCAATTAAAAAAGGTGACTTGGTTTCGGTTTTGGTTAAACAGGAACTATTCATTTCTTCGATTTAAATATAGAATATTAAAAAGTAAAAACTATTATACAAGTCAAAATTTAAATTAAATTGTAAAATTAATTATTTTTGCAGTCTAATAAATATAAACACATAACACTGAAAATTGTAAAACGTAAATTGTTATTTGTAATATCCTTCTTATCATATGATAATAACATATTACCACAGAATTATTCTGAGATATTATATTATCTTAGTTCATGATTGATGTATTTAAAATTATATATATATATTGTGTGATATTACTCTTCGAATTGTTATCAAACAAAGGAGATAAAAATAACTGCACAACAGCGGCCAAAAATAAAAATTTTCCTTGTATGACGTACTTTGTCTACTTTCGAACTGGGACAATGAAAGCTTTTCTTTAATCCCCAGATGATTCGTAATATTATATCGCCACAAGTTCTGAAATTATCACTTATCTGTTCCGTTTGTATGTGCCAAATAACCTCATTCTCTCGGTGAACGGAGTATACCTAGGTATGATAAATTAAATTTATCATGCACATATTGATGTAGGTATCCGATATTGTGTACACAGTCAATTACGAGCATATCTGAACACAACTTAAAATCGATAGAGAATGAGGAATAAGTCTTTGAAAACATTTTAAACTATTTAGTAAATGCATTTGAAGAAACAAAAAAAAAAATGTAGAAATAATTACATGGTGTATATACGACATACGAGTACATTGAAGACTGTAAATCTATACCTAAGGCTAACCTTTTGATTCATAAAACAAAAAAATTACTAATAATAATTAGTTTTTTAATAAATTATTTTTATGCGGTTCTAATTCTTCGGGAGGTCACCCAGCAGGAATCAATTAGAGATGAATCAATACAAAGAAAATTGGAAAGGGGCTGCAGCCAAACTCCCTCAAATAAAAAAAATTCAGATTAAATTACTTATAGATTGTACATACTTCGCGTCTTCGCCCTAACAGCACAACGACCAGATGTTAAACAAAACAAAAAGAATACACCAAAATTGAAGATGACATGAAACTTCTCCAACGTGGAAAACAAGTTAAAAGAATTAACAATAAATACTTTAAGCTCGAACAAAGAATTTGCTGTTTTAAGGAGAGAGTGACAAGCGATCCTCCTGCACTGATGAAATGGATTGATTATTTAGACAATTTAGTCATTTAATTAAACACGATAAATTAATTTTAACTAATTAAAAAAAACTTTTGATTAATATTTTATGTGATTATTATTTTTATTATTATGATAATGAAATTTTTGAATTTATGCCTTTATGTACTTAAAGGTTGCCGTTCTATTAAGACTCTCGGACCATAATTATATTATTACATTAAGGGCCTATTATATATGCTTTATTATGATACAGGGAAAGTCTAGGGACGGTCTTTGGTAGGTGTTCTGGAACCCAAATTTCGTGAGGACATAATATTAAAATGTATATATTATATTTATAACTTTATAAGTAAGCAATAGCTGGCCAACCTAAACTCCCTGACGCTAACATTTATGTTTGCGTTACAGTTCAATAATGAATACTAAAAAAATTAGATTTTTTTTAATCGTTTAAACAAATTATTATGTGTTTTATGTTGAATATATTTAAAAAAAGGATTGAATTTTCCCTTGAATTTTCGGTTGTTTTTTTTCAGCCACGACTACTATTTATTTAACCTTCAAACCCTAAAATATATCGAATGATAATGATGTGATATTAACAATTAAATAATTATTAATTATTAAGACACTTACAGATATTTTATATATATAATAAATGTATATATCTGTGAAGCCACTATATTTTGTTCTTCGCTAGAACATGTTACAGTGTTGCGTAGTATCGTAACCCGAATTACAAATTACTGTAACTATGTTAATTACGTATATTTTCAATTCCGATAATAGTTAACAATACCTTCCACGAATTAATGTTATTACTTATTGCAGAAAGAAGAGAGTTTGGTAAAAAATAAACTTTAATTAAAAGGAATTATAATATATGACTTTACGAGTAACCTTCATGCATAGAACAATGTCTACCCACATGGCTATATAGTTAATTAGCAACCTTGCAAAAAAAAATATTGAACAATTAAAGTATAACCATAGTTGAAAAATATTAAAAATACATGCTCACAATTTTATTTTATAATTTCATGAGTATTTAAAGTTCAAATTTTGACAAAATTTATCAAATTGAAAATACATACATTTTCGGACGTATATATTCGTTATCATTATAATATGGGTGTTTAATAATTAATATAATTGAATAATGATATGTAGAAATATGCAATTGAATAGCTACCAGTGGTGTTGTGGTAACTATAGTGGGCGGTGGCCTTATGGCTTTGGTGTAAACTGTGGGTGGGGCAGATTCCCAAGATATTTAGTATCTTTTATTCCTCCCCCCCCCCAGGTTTAGTCTAAATTTTACGATTTTATGTATAATTTTAGTATAAATGGTTTTTTTTTAAAATATATTTTTGTTTTTATTTTTACTCATAGAGTACTTTCGTTTTAGTTTCATCATATCAAACTGTCACCATTAAATTAATTAACCCCGATCAAAAGAAGGTCTCAACGAGTGGAATTCATTTGAATAACACATGTTACATTCTTACATGCACTCGCAATAATTTACGTTTATATTGGTAATTT